TTATTTTATTTTATTTTTTAAACAAAGAAGAAGTAGTTAAAGTTTTAAAAACCGGCCCAGCTTTGTGCCTTTTGCTTCCTGCGCGTCGGGTGAATTTTCTGCGTTTTTCCGCCAGAAATGTATGCCGTTAGTTCTCCGCTGACAGTGTCCTTGAGGATTTGACAGTGAAATTTTCCCGAACGCGGCTCTTCGTTAGGATCCTGGCGCTGTCTTAACAAGGCAGCCGAGCCGCTGCTCCCTTCGACTTGTGTTTGTTCTCGCAGGGCTGGAGGCTGCTGGCAGTCAGCGCATCGACCAGAGCTGATCATTACAAGGGCGTTCGCTACCATGAATAAAAATGTCACACGCGCTCCTCCCGTCTCACAGCGGTACAAAATGTCAGCTCTGTCAAACACACATTGCAGGGAGCAGGGAGCGCTTGGTACAAATTGGAAAGCCGAATATTCCCTCGGCTTTCTGATATTCTTCATTTGAAGGCGAAGAAAAAACAGTTGTTAACCTATTAGCTGTGATTTTTTTTAAACGCCCGCTGCAGCCTGGAATGGACAGCTTTCTGGCGTTATTTGGGGGTAGGTGGGATCGGCCTCTTGCTGGCGCCCCGAATTTGGGGAGACTCCCCCTCCCATCCCTGCTTGGTCTCGGAGGATTTCAGGGAGGGATGTCAGTGGAGATTCCTGGTTGTCCCAAAAGTGCTTTCTCAGGAGGCAACTGGACTTCCTTATTTTTCTTTGAAGACGTTTCGCTTCTCCTCCAAGAAGCTTCTTCGGCTCTGAGAGTCGTTGGACACTTGTAGGTTTATTTGTGTCCTCAGGGTCACCTGAGTCGTGTTCTAGAAAAAAATTGCAGACTACAGGAATCATTTGCACTACTCGGGTGACCCTGAGGACACAGGTAAGCCTCCAGGTGGCCTCAACGATCCTCTAAAAGGATGCAAATGACCAGCTGTCTGCAAGGAGTATAAATCCTTCCATCCTCCGCCCTCCAGTCAGAGCTGAAGAAGCTTCTGGGATGAGAAGCGAAACGTCTTCAAAGAAAAACAAGAAAGTCCAGTTGCCTCCTGAAAAAGCACTTTTGGGACAACCAGGAATCTCCATTGACATCCCTCATTGACATCACCTTCATGGAGGGATATTACTGTGAGTGGCCGGCTGGCTTCATTGTGATGTTTGTGGAGCTTTCAAAGATTTCCCCAAGCATCTCGCAGCCCATTTTTGTTTCTTGGAAAGGAAAAGAACTTGGGGTCTTCCCCCTTCAGCTGGTGATGCCCTTTGGAGGAACAGCAGAAGCAGGAAGGTTTAAATCATAGCGTTGTCATGACTTGACTTTCCGAAAGTGGTATGTCCAACTCAATAGCTGTCATGGATCCGCTACCAGACCACTTTTCGGACACGAGTTCAGAGGAGGAGGGTGAGTTTGAGTCGACAGAGGAAAGTGCAGAGAATAATAATAATAATAATAATAATAATAATAATAATAATAATAATAATAATAATAATAATAATAATAATAATAATAATAAAGTTGGAAGGGATCTTGGAGGTCTTCTAGTCCAACCCCCTGCTCAGGCAGGAAACCCTATCCCATTTCAGACAAATGGCTGTCCAGTCTCTTCTTAAAGACTTCCAGTGTTGGAGCATTCACCGCTTCTGGAGGCAGGTTGTTCCACTGGTTAATTGTTCTAATTGTCAGAAAATTTCTCCTTAGTTCTAGGTTGCTTCTCTCCTTGATTAGTTTCCATCTGTTGCTTCTTGTCCTGCCTTCAGGCGCTTTGGAGAATAGCTTGACTCCCTCTTCTTTGAGGCAGCCCCTGAGATATTGGAAGACGGCTATCATGTCACCCCTGGTCCTTCTCTTCATTAAACAAGACACACCCAATTCCAGCAACCGTTCTTCATATGGTTTAGCCTCCAGTGCACTGATAATCTTTGTTGCTCTTCTCTGCCCTCTGTAATGTTGGTCAGGATCACGGCTTGGGGAGTGCTAGCCTGATGGAGCAGCCTCAGCTGGGTGGATCGGAGGAGTACTGGCTGAGGCTGCAGCAAGGTTGCCAGGAGGCTCCAGGCAAGGACTGGGAGGAGCTGCCACCTGTTAGCAATGAGGAGGTGGAGTCCACACCTCCATGCTCCAAGAACATGTAGAGCAGAGAGGAGACAGGCACAATGCAGGTCAGCTAGGCTATTTGCGAGGAGGCAACCTCACCTCTCATGAAGGCATTGCCTACATAATCCCACTGTGCCTTGTGTGCTTGTGCTGTGTATCCTGGCCTGCCTGACTCCTGTACTTCCCCATTGACTCTGCTCGTCAAGGAGGTCACAGATGTGGATCACGTGACCCCGGGACGTTGCGACCATCATAAATATGAACCAGTTGTGAAGTTAGCAACACAGTTGTTAAAGGAATCTGGCTTCTCGCTTGTCAGAGGATCGCAAAAGGGGATGACGTGATCCCAGGACACTCCGACCATCATAAATACGAGCCCGTTGCCAAGACTCCATTATTTTGATCAAGTGATCACAGGGATGCTACAACGGTCGTAAGTGTGAAAAAATGGTCATAAGTCCCTTTTTTTCAGCGCCGTTGTAACTTCGAATGGCCCCCAAAAGAGCTGTTGTAAGCCAAGGTAGTTGTAGTCCATTCAACGAGCCGCTTAAGCTTAATTATTGCTTAATTATTCCCCCCCCCCCTCTATGGCTGGTCCTTTAACCACAGGCCTGCCGCAGTAATTTAAGCTCCAGTTCGGGCATCCCCGGACCACATTCTCGATGCCGCGCAAGTAATTAAGCTGATCTTCTACCACACTTTCCCTTCCTGACCTTTTGGAAACAATGCGTTTTGCTGCATCAACAAATTAACCGCAACTCCGAGGCTGGTTTCTGTGTAATGTACATGTCTCGGGGATCTGTTTTGGAGCATGAGAGGGGAGGGGTCCAGGATTCAGAGCAAACACACACACACACACCCCGGGATGCCAGCCGTCCCTTTTTTCTTTCTTTCGTGACCTATTTCGGCAGATAAATATTGTCATCTGGAGGGGCACCAAATTCCAGCAGTGGCTGCGAACTGGAAAGAAGACGATGCAGGGAGATTTACAAGCATCCTGTCCCAGGGAGGAGATTTATCTGGGGGTGCAAAATCGGGAAGAGTTGCACCTGGCAAGGAGTTTTGGGGTTTAAAGCGGGGTCCCGAAAAGCAGGGGAGAAAAAGCAGAGCCCTCCCCTATAACGTTGCCAGGAGAAACCTGGGAGAGAAGGCAATAAGTGTAGTCCTTGACTTACAACACTTCGTTTAGTGACCGTTTGAACTGACAACGGCACTGAAAAAGGACTCATGACCATTTTTCACACTTACGACCATTGCAGCATCCCAGTGGACACGTGACTTACAAGCAGATGCTTGGCAACTGACAGCCGCAGCATCCCGTGTGTGTGTGTGTGTGTCATGTGATCCCATTTTGTGACCTTCTGACGAGCAAAGTCCATCGGGGGAAGCCAAATTCACTTAACAACCGGGTTACCGATTTAACCGCCGCAGTGGTTCACTTAACAAATGTGGCAAAATGGGACAAAACTCACTTCCTTGTGTCCTCAGGGTCACCTGAGTAGTGCAAACGGGAGTGGAGCCTTCTTGGTGTAGGATGTTTTCTGCCCTGGGTCCCTTCACTGTGGGTTAATCTCCAAGTGGCCTCAACGACTCTCTAGAGTAATGCAAATGACCAGCAGTCTGCAAGGAGTATAAATCCTTCCACTTCCCACCATTCGGTCAGAGCTGAAGAAACTTCTTGGATGAGAAGCGAAACGTCTTCAAAGAAAAATAAGAAAGTCCAGTTGCCTCTTGAAAAAGCACCTTTGGGACAACCACGATCTGGATGACGGAGAATCTCCATAGACATTTAGCTATGCCCTTTGGGGTGAACCCCCTTCGAATGGGGAATGGAAGGATTTATACTCCTTGCAGACAGCTGGTCATTTGCCTTCTTTGAGAGAGTCTACAGCACTGATGGCGAACCTTTTAGAGACCCGAGTGCCCCAAAACTGGCCCCGCCCCTGCTCCATCCCCTGCCCCGTCCCCACCCCACCTCCCCGCAGGGCCACTCACCGCCTCCAGGGCCTGCCGCAGATAGCCCAGCAGCGTGGCCATGGCAGCCACGCCCTCTGCCCGCGCCCCGCAGCATCAACTGTGCATGATGGGGCGTGAGGGCAGACTCTTGTCTATGCTGCCTGGCTGCCATGTCCTTGGCTGCGCTGCTCCGCATGGGCCACGCTCAAGGGTGACTCTCCTCCAGCGGGGCTGCTGGTGAGGAGGGGGTCATGGGGGGGAGGCGAGGCTGGGGCAATGGCACATGTGCCCAGAGAGAGGGCTCTGAGTGCCGCCTCTGGCACGCGTGCCATAGGTTCGCCACCACTGGTCTACAGGAACCATTTGCGCTTCAGTTTGAGATTCAGACAACGCAGACTCATCCCCAACAGCCTGCGTTTGTCTCCAACAAGGAAGGGACCCAGGGCAGACAACATCCTGCAGCCAAGAAGGCTCCACACCCATTTGCACCGCTCAGGTGACTTTGAGGACACAGGTAAACCTCCAAGTGGCCTCAATGACTCTCTAAAAGCATGCAAATGACCAGCTGTCTGCAAGGAGTATAAATCCTTCCATTCCCCGCCATCCAGTCAGAGCTGAAGAAGCTTTTTGGATGAGAAGCGAAACGTCTTCAAAGAGAAACAAGAAAGTCTTGAAAAAACACCTTTGGACAAGGAGTCTCTTCCCCCACTTCTGCCTAACTATCAGAAAAATAAATAAAAATCCAGCAATGACTTTGATAAAGATGTAGGGATGAGCCACATCTCCCTGGCTTCCTGCTGTCCTCTCCATTTCTTAAGCCCAACAAGCTCAAGTGATCCGAGATCCCTTCCACCCCAAGGAGTTTGTCCTAGTAAGTTGAGGTCCTGCTGAAGGTGCTGTTTTGGGGCTGGGGGCTAATGACTGAAGTTTCCCCTTTGCTGCAGCCAAGTGCACCGCCGCCGAGACCACCCCTGCCCAAGATTCATCGCTCCGCCAGGCCCGTGAGTAAAAGGCCACTTTGTCTGCCTCTAACCCTTGCGCGATTCTTCGCCTTACTAAAAAAACGGCTGGCTGGGCTTTGGCAAACTCACAACCAAGCAACGCAGGGACGGTCGGCCTCCCGCTCGGTCAAGCTGAAGTAGGTTCTAGGTCAGTGGTGGCGAACCTATGGCAGGCGTGCCAGAGGCGGCGCTCAGAGCCCTCTCTGTGGGCACACGTGCCGTGTCCCAGAGATGGCAACCGTCCCTCTTCAACCAACCGCCCATTAACTCGCGGAGGTCCCACATGGCTGAGGTCCCACATTCCCTCCCCACCGTCCCATCCCTCCTGGCCCCGCATGCTCTCCTTTTCCCGGGCACGACCCACTGCATTGTCTTCTCAGCTGTTGGCCAGCTGTCCAGCTCAGAGGCGGCTTCTCTGAACTGCTGGTGGTGGGCTGCGGAGCCCCAGAGTGTGCCGGTCGAGGGGCCGGTAGGCTGTGGCTGCTGACGGACACTGTTGCCCCCCATGTGCTCTCTGGCCTCTCTGTGCAGGGGCCGATGGTGTCAGGCAGCAGCCGCCCCGGCCCCTGCCTCGCCTTGTCCTGCGACAATGGCACCCCTGCCCTGCCTCGCCTTGCCTCGCCTCGCCCCGCAGGACGAGCCTCCTGCCCACCGCCCCACCTGCCAGAGACCCCCTGGATCTCCCCCAACCCTGCCCGGCCCTCACAGGCATCCTTCCCCACGAGCAACATCGAGGTGACCATGCCCACCTTGGCCACACCTACCCAGTCTGCCATGACCACCACAGCCACGCCAACCCAGTGGGCCATGCCCACCTGGCGCCCGGCGATAAATAAGTGGGTTTGGGGTTGCAGTTTGGGCACTTGGTCTCTCAAAGGTTCGCCATCACTGGTATAGGTTCTGCTTTCTCTCCTTCGGAGCTGCTCTTGCTCCTTGTGGCTCTTTCCTTCACTCTGGATTACTCTTCCCTGCAGTTTTTACTCAAGGGTTGCCAAAGCTTGCAAAGTTAGGACTGGGTACAAGGAGGAGAAGGCCCTCTTCGTAGAAGGAGTCTTTGGTGAACCGTGCTGCTTTTTCTTCATGGTTTCGATGGAAACTTTAGGCCTGGTTCTAGTCCCCAACCTCTCTAAATTGGGGTAATCATTACCTCAGAATACCGCTAGTTCTTGACTTACAACAGTTCATTTAGTGGCCCGTTCCAAGTTACGACGGCAGTGAAAAAAGGGACCTGTGGACGTTTTCCAAAGAGAAGCAAGGCCTAGCTAACATCTGCGGCCACATCTGTAGCTGCTGGAGACCGGCAAAGCCCCCAGCATTATTTCCCTCTCTGCTGCTGTCTGAAATTAGCTACTCTCCAAGGGCCACCTTAGCTTATACTAAGCCCATTGAATAGAATAGAGCTGGAAGGGACCCTGGAGATCTTCTAGTCCAGCCCCTTGCTCAAGCAGGAGAACCTATACCAGGGGTAGGCAACCTTGGCTCTTTTATGACTGGTGGACTTCAACTCCCAGAATTCCTGAGCCAGCCACGCTGAGGAGAAAGGGAGAGGTTTTCAAGCTGAGCCGTGCTGGCTCAGGATTTCTGGGAATTGAAGTCCACGAGTCATAAAAGAGCCAAGGTTCCCCACCCCTGATCTAGATCATGATTTGATGAGTTTAGATCAGGGGTAGGCAATCTTGGCTCTTTTATGACTCGTGGACTTCAACTCCCAGAATTCCTGAGCCAGCCATGCTGAGGGGAGAGGGAGAGGTTTTCAAGCTGAGCCATGGTGGCTCAGGAATTCTGGGAGTTGAAGTCCACCAGTCATAAAAGAGCCAAGGTTGCCTACCCCTGACCTATACCATCTTGGAACAGAGCCACAGAATTTGCCTTCTTCCACCTCCATGAGGCCATGCAGCAACCGCCAACCTGGTGCCTTCCAGATGCGCCCCAAATTACCGTATATGTGTTATCCTCCCAACATCTGGAGGAGGCAACAAGCCGGAAGAGGTTTTTCGCTAAGATCCCAGGGGTGCGAGAATCGAACAGATGAGATAGCAACAAAGTACTGAAGCGGCTAAAAGAAGACTTGAGTTAATTATTCTCGTCTGACTTTCTTCCCCAAAAACACTCCTTATAATATTTGTCCAGGATCTTCAGTGGACCAAAATGTCCCACCTTTTTTTTTTCTCCCAGTTTGCTTGTTTTCCACGGCAAGAGAAGGAACTGGACCCAGTTGCTTTCTTTCCATTGTCGCATTCCTTCCTTAAAAGCAGGATGGGGAAAAATCACAGACGGGGATGCTCATCTGTCCAGCTGTGTGTGGCGTGGGAATTTTGGGGCTGTCCACTCCTTTCCACCCTCCTAAGCCTTGTCTGCTTGCTCCTAACGTCCAGCGTGCGCTCGCCAACTTTGCCTATTTAACAGTGGGTGTGTAGCTCCACGCATCATTATTATGGATTTATGCGTTGATGATTTTCCTTCTTACGTGTACTGAAAGTGGTGTTGATCACGTCTGTCTCAGTTGCTCAAACGCTTTGATTCTTTATCCCGTTTTTCTGAGTGTTTTATTTCAACCTAAGGAAGAAAAAAAAAGAAATTGCATCGTATTTGCATTCTTTTCCACCCGGTAGATCTTCCTCAAGTGACTTTGGTTTGCAGCTAAAATGTTTTTCAGCAACCTCGTGGAACGGAAGTTGCCTCCAGAAGTCGTGGAGGCTCCATCACGGGAGGTTTTGGAGAAGAGACTGGACAGCCATTTGTTTGGAAATGGTTTAGGGTCTCCTGCTTCAGCAGAGGGTTGGACTAGGTGACCTCCAAGGTCCCCTCCAACCCTGTTATAATGTATTCTGCTCCAGGTTGGCCTGAAGTGATGATGATGATGATGATGATGATGATGGAGGAAGGGACCTTGGAAGTCTTCTAGTTCACCCCTGCTTAAGCATGAACCCTATACCATTTCAGACAAATGGCTGTCCAGTCTCTTCTTGAAAACATCCAGTGTTGGAGCACCCACAACTTCTTGAGGCAGGTTGTTCCACTGATTAATTGTTCCTCACTGTCAGGAAGTTTCTCCTTAGTTCTAGGTTGCTTCTCTCCTTGGTTAGTTTCCATCCGTTGCTTCTTGTCCTGCCTTCAGGCGCTTTGGAGAATAGCTTGACTCCCTCTTCTTTGGGGCAGCCCCTGAGATATTGGAACATTGCTATCATGTCCCCCCTGGTCCTTCTCTTCATTAAACTAGACATGCCCAATTCCAGCAACTGTTCCTTATATGTTCTAGCCTCCAGTCCCCTGATCATCTTTGTTGCTCTTCTCTGCACTCTTTCCAGAGTCTCAGCATCTTTTTTACATCGTGGTGACCAAAACTGGATGCAGTATTCCAAGTGTGGCCTTACATGGCATTGGACCTGGTTACCTCCGAGACCGCCTTCTGCCACAGATCACCTCCCACCGGCCGATACGCTCCCACAGAGAGGGCCTCCTCAGGGTGCCGTCAACCAGACAGTGTCGGCTGGCGACCCCCAGGGGGAGAGCCTTCTCTGTCGGAGCACCCACCCTCTGGAACGAGCTGCCCCCAGAGATCCGGGTGATTC